GACACTGGATTAGTGTCACTAACTGAGGGATGAAATTGCTCTAAGAAGGCTAAGAGTCTAGCTATTGTGTGTGATTCTTGAAATGAATGGAAAATGGATCAGGCATCCAGAAAGGGCTGAGTTCCAGGACTGCTAGAGCAGCGTCATTTCTAAAGATCAGTGCCATTTCAGATACAATTTTTTTAATTGAGTACTAGATTAGAATCAGAAAGAGCCAAGGAATATTCTGTGATCTGTATTACACAGGACAAAAAACCCCCAAAATATCAGTGTCCCAGTCCACTTCTCAGCCTGGGGGTAAAATTCTGCTCCCTTGAAATCAAGAGCAAGTTGTTCTGTGGTTCAGATTTTCCTTCCTGGATTTTCCTCACAGAAGGGTAATGGGGAAATAAGGGTTATGGCCCATGTTATCCAGAAATGCATGGCAGTGACCCAGCCTGTCTTGAGGCGCTTGTCTTCCTGTTCTCTTGCAGAGGGAAGAGATTGATTAGTGTTTGGTGTTTTAAGCAACTTCAGTACTCATGACTAGCTCCTGTGACTTTTTTTCTGGGATGACAGGCCCAAAACCTCCTAAGTAATTTCTGGCCTCACAGAGAGATGACAGAATTGATTGTTCTGGTTCTGTTAAGAGTCCACCAGGGGCTCATACCAAACTTCCCTGCTCTCCACAGCCTTTCCCAGGTTGTACCAATTGATGGAGCCTAAGAGAGGGACCACGGCTTTACCAACATTGATCACACAGTAAGAGGTGCTTCAGGGCACCTCACCAGCAGCAAGGATAGATGTATGCCCTAGTGAGAAAGATTTTTTTTTTTAAGTTGACATCAAGTTGGGTGTAGGTTGGCAGGGTGGAGGCATGTTCAAACATTTTCTAATTACTAATGCATCTATCTCCCAGCAGAACTGAGTATTCATTATCCTCAGGGCCAGAGGGCAACATTATTGCTGCAGTGTTTTGTCACCAGGCTACCATGTCAAGAGGTGGCAGCATGTGATACGGTATTTTTAAGCAAATGATTCAAAATCCCACCTGCTTCGTAAACAAATACAAATACGGGCTCAATTCCACCTCAGAGATACTGCAAGAGGAACAGGAACTGGACAATGGGCTGAATTTGGAGTGTTAAGTTGACAGCGTTTTGCTTGACAAGCAAGCTGTGTTTCTTTCTCCTGCCTGCCAAAAGATGACTGGAAAGCCCAGTTTGGAGCAAATCACCAGAGCATTACCCAGGGAATTTTCTGAAATACACAATAATGGAAATCAATATCCCATAACGATGTAACACAGGAGTACAAGAAAACTGGCATGTTTGGTGTCCGTGACAACTTCTGAGTGGTTGATTTCTGTGTTTTGGCTTAATTGCTGTGGATTACATGGCCATATCCTTAGAAACAGAGCGCAGAATATTTTGATTTGGGTGACCATAGTTAAGTTCCCAAAAATCAAGAGGCACTGAAACAAATATGGCCTCATCTTCAGAGCTCCTGGACATCCATAAACCTTAGCTGCTGTGGAAAATAAATGACATTTTTATTTAGATGGTAGGATCTGAGAGATTAATTTTATTCACTCAGGTATAAGAATATAAGCCACTCTGCTTGCATAGGTAATTAACAGTGCTTGTGGGGATTCCTCTTGAAATGGCACCCATGATGGACATTCATCCAACAGAGCTCACTGTTCTTGCTCTTTAGATAATGGTTCTTTTCCCACTGGCTTAACTGAGAGAGGAGGCAGATTTATCTCAGAAGAAAGTACTTCCCCACAGCCTCTTTTCACCTGTCCTCATTTCCAAGAGCCCTACCAGCCAGTCTGTGAGCCATAAGGCTTCAGCAACAGTGCGGAATGTACCCTCCGCCTTTTTTTTTTCTTTTCTGTTTTCATCCAAACTCGATGTTTTCCCACACCTCTGCCTCCTCATCCTGCATCTCATTTTCCACTTGCACAGTTAGCCCAGCTACCCCAAAAGACTGTGACCATTCCAGCCTCCTCTATGCCAAAAGCCACACCTCCTTCAAATAATGTCTCAGAGCTTTTCCAAGTCTTATTTAACCAACAAGGCAAGAAAAATATTCTTACTTCAACCCCAGGCCCTGAAACTCAAAGGCATCAGCTCACAAAGCAGGACAAGGACAGATTCAATTTAAAGATCTCCAAAATGGCCTTTTTGCCTAGTGAACTCATTGTAAATACCTGATTTCCACAGAGACAAGAACAAACTATAAGGGAGAAACTGAACAGCAATAGCAATAACCTTAGATTGGGGCAAGAGGGGTTTATTTTGAGG